TACGTAGCCGAGGGCGTCGAGCGTAGCCCGTCTCCAGACCATAACGGTCTTCTTTGCGTCGTGAATGTTGCGCCAGGTCTGGTCGAGTTCGTCTGGGACCAGCCTGGATGCCGGGTAAATCTGCCCTCTCATGGAGGGATCTGCGTGTCGCATGGCCTGCACGCATTGCTCGGCATCGGTCAGATCGGCGCACATCTGCTTCCGCAACGAGCTTGCGATCTTGTAACCCATCCCGCAGGCATCTGGCCGATCTCTCAGCTCTCCCTCTTCTGGGTGACGGAGGTACCACGGCAGGTCGGTAGTGTCGGTTGCGACGGGGATGCAGAGGCGCCAACGATACTTGGGGTCGAAGAACGTGCGGTCGTAGGCCCACTCCGGACCGTCCTTCACTATTCCGGTGGACCGCACGACTTGGGGGCGAATGAGCTCCGATGTCTCCTCAAAGCGCCTGTCTGCCACGTAGCACAGCGGCCGATTCAAACGGTCGCGTCCTCATTGTAACCCAGTGGACCCCTTTGTCGGGCATGTCCTTGAAGTTGTGACAATCAACCCAAAAACAAAGTCGAAAAGAGAAGTGAATTCGAAGACTGGAGAATACAACCAAGTAGCTACAGTATTTATACCCAAATCCAGTCTGAGTCATATCTACAACTAATGAGTCATAGGGCTATGTACCGCATGGAACGCTGGTCATGGGTCGTAGTAGAACCTTCTGGAGCATATGTCGCGCAGCCTCGAATCGATGAAGATAATCCCTGAAACCCCTAGTCCGGACCGTCTGATGCCGTGATCCGTGATAAGATAAGTTGTGCCAAGATAAGATAAGATCGTCGATGATAAGATGAAAAAGTGGCCGAACTATGACATTACCCCCTCTCTAGGGTCGATGTCCTCATCGACCAGGCCAATGGGTAAGAAGACGTTCTCGTAAGGGTCGAAGAGCTGTCGTTGGGGGTATGGAAGGCGCTCGTCCCTGGGCTGGTAGCGATGAATGAGATAGTCCCAGTGTCCAGCTTCGAGCGTTGGCAGGAGGCGAATGCGTGTGTCTGGATTTGATTGTTTCCTTTGCCAGTCTCTCAGGACGTCCTTTGCGTGGGTAAGGTGACGTGATGGTTCCCAGGTGTTCTCGCTGTGCGGCCATCCCTTCCATTTGACCAAGTACTGTTTTCCTCGGCCGACTTTTCGCTCTTTCACGATTTCTTCGACTTCCCACTCCTCTGCTCCTCCGATCATCTTGGCCACGGGTCTCTTCTCTCGGCAATGGGGGGGTGGTTCGTGATAGGGTGTCAACAGTGACTCGTTGAACACCGGGTGTCTTCGGTCCGTGTCCGGCAAATCTAGCTTCCATGCGGCCGCTCCAACCTTCTCCAGTATCTCGTATGGTCCCAATCTCTTGTCGCTCATCTTCTTTGATGGTCTATCCGTCTCGATATTTTCCCCTTCTATGTACACCTTCATCCCAACCTTCAACTCCGGAACTTCTTTTCTTTGTTTATCGTAGTATTTTTTCATTTTTTCTTTTGCTTTTTCCAATGCTGCTTTTGCTTCGTCTTGTATTTCTTTGATTCTTTTTACAAATTCCTCCGCCGACTCGTTCCTTGATTCCATCCGCTGCTCCACTCCCTTCCATGGGTGATATCCGTGATTAGCATAGAACGGCGACATTTTGGTAGACGTGTTCATTTTGTCGTTGTATGCGAACTCCGCCATTCCCAGCCACTCCGACCAGTCCGTCTGATGGTAGTTGACGTAAATGCGGAGATAGTGTTCGATCTCCTGATTCATACGCTCCGTCTGCCCATCCGTGATGGGGTGATATGCGGTCCCCGGATTCATTTCCACGCCCAACATCCGATTCGTTTCCTTCATAAAGCCCTTGATGTATCGAGAGTCCCTGTCAGTGATGATTTTGCGGGGGACCCCGTGATAGCGGAAGATTCGGTCCCTGGTTAATCGTGCTACTCCTTCGCTGCTGATGTCAGTACTAATTGGTTTGACATGGATCATTTTGGTGAAGGTGTCACACCACACATGAATTGCGTCATACCCGTTACTGACCGGCAGGGGTCCGATCTGATCCATGGAGATGATTTCCCACGGCGCGTTTGGAACTGCATGCGGGTGCAAACTCCCTGTCCTGGCTCTTCTGGTCTTGGTCCGCTGGCACGCTTCGCACGTCTGGATGTATTTCCGAATTTGGTTTCCCATCCTTGGCCACCAGTAGTTCCTTTCCACCATCTCCTGCGTTCGGTTGATCCCGGCGTGTCCGACCAAAGGTGTGTCGTGGTGTAGTCCGATGATTTTGTCCCGCAACTCCTCGTCCCTTGGTACGTAGAGCTTCCCATGGTACGTGATAAGCCCCTCTTCCTTCTTCCATCCGGCGAGTGACTTCTCTAAGGCCGCCTTGACGCTTCCATCAATTGATCGAATGGCCTTGATTTCGTCGATTAGCTGCTGATCCTGTCCCTCGAATGTGACTTCTTGTGATCGGAAGAACTCGGGCTTCAGTAGCGTGACGTCCTTGTTGTCGTTCTTGCCCTGATCGTGATCTGCTCGTCGGGACAGGAGGTCCGCCTTGCGGTTGAGTGCGCCGGGTCGGTGTCGTAAGGTGAAATCGAACTCCGCCAACTCCGTGATCCATCGTGCTTGCCGTCGATTGAGCTTCTGCGGCTTCCGAAAGTACTCGAGATTCTGATGATCGGTGAAGATCTCGAATGTTTCCGTGGCTCCCAGGAGCAACTGCCTCCATTCGTCAAGTGATAACATGATTGCGAGCATCTCCTTGTCGTAGATCTCATAATTTCGCTCGGTTTCGGTCAATGCGTGCGAAATAAATGCGATTGGGCGCCAAATGCCGTCTTGGTTTTGGCTCAAAACTGATCCTGTTGCTCCTTCCGAAGCATCGGCTTCCAGACGATATTGGCCAGTGTCATTTGGCAGTGCTAAGACGGCATCCTCCGCGATTCTCTTCTTTAACCCATCAAACGCCGCATGTTCATCCGGACCCCATGACCATCCTGCCTTCCCTGTCAGCCGCGTCAACGGCTTGGCGACCTCCGCATATCCCCGAACGAAACGTCGATAGAAGTTTGTGAATCCGAGGAAGGCTTGGACTTGTTTGACGCTCTTTGGTTCCGGCCATTCCATCACGCCCTTGATCTTGACAGGGTCCATCCGCATCGAGTTGTGTCCAATGATTACACCCAGGTATTCGATTTCCGTGCGTTCGAACTCGCACTTTTCCGGCTTCAGGTATAATTTGTGCTTTTGGAGCAACTCGAGTACCCGTTTGGTGATTCGTCGATGTTCATCCAGATTTTCTGTGAAGATTAGTATGTCGTCCAGATAAACTACCACATGTCCCTCGTTGATCAGTTCCCGGAGTATGTCGTTCATCATGTTTTGGAAAGTTGCCGGGGAATTTGTGAGACCAAAGAACATAACCAAGGGCTCGTAAAGTCCGCGGTTTGTGCGAAACGCAGCCTTCCACTCATCGCCCTCTTTGATCCGTACGTTGTTGTATCCCCACCGGATGTCTAGCTTGGTGAAGAACTTGGCGCCGCACAGGTTGTGGACCAGTTCGGAAATCAGCGGTAGCGGGTACCGATTTCGGATCGTCATCTCATTCAGCTTCCGGTAATCTTGAACAGGCCGTAGCGAGCCATCCTTCTTCTTGACAAAGAAGAATGCCGATGCCATGGGTGATTTTGATGGCCTGATTCGTCCGCTGGCTAGGTTCTCTTGTAAGAACTCGTCGAGTTTGACCTGCTCGTTTCTCAATAAGGGGTACACCTTGCAGTCCACTGCTTTGGAGCCTGGTTTGAGCTCGATCGCATGATCCCATGCCCGTCGGTCCGGTAGCGAGTCGAATGATTCCTTGGCGAATACTTTGACAAATTCTCGGTATTGATCTGGAATCTTTCCCTCGGTCATTCTCTCCTTCTCCTTTTCCGCTTCTTCTGCGAATTTCTGCGCCGGCGTTTCCTTCAGCCGTAGGTCTACCTCCTTTCCAAAGTCGATCAACAAGATCGATTCTCCCTCTTCCAGATCCGGTGCACCCGCGTCCAGGTCAATTGCATCCATGTCGATCATCGCTTGGTGCTCCTCGTGACCCCTCATTTGACATTGCTCTGGGCATCGGCTGAATCTCATTGTCTGCTCCTGCCAATCCACCTCGGGGTTGTGTTCCATCAGCCAATCGAGACCGATGAAGATCCGGGCTTTCCCCAAGCACGTCAGAAGGAACGTGCGTGTCTCCACATGAGGACCGATTCTCATCCTCAGATCGACGTAGTGCGTGATCCGACCGCTGATGTTCTCGGTGTTGTCGGCGTTACGAGCCACAATGGGTTGTGGGAGCTCTTGAATATCCAACTTCTCCGCCCGTGCGTAGTCGGTATCGATGCAACAGGTACTGCAGCCGCTATCGAGCAGCGCCTTGACTCCGCGCGTTTTCCCTGAGTCCAGGCCCGTGATCTGGACATATACGTCCATCGAATGCCTCTTTCTTTCGGCTTGGTAACTGCGCAATTCCTGCGCCAATCTGCTGGGCTGGGGGCCCTTCTGTTTCTCGGTCGCCAATTTCCTCTGGATGGCATCTGGCACCCTGGTGCGTTTGGGTGCTTCTGGAACCTCGATTTTGGCAGATTCCTTGGGCGCTTCCTCCTTTTCCAAGGATCGAGCCTTCGGAGCGATGCTCCCCTTTTCGGTCTTTGTTGACGTGGTTCCTTCTCCACGAGCCATAAATACGTAGGAGTCCAAAAATAATTTATCTGCAGCTTTCTGATCCTTTTTATCTTGTAAGTATTTTCTATTTAGAGCTATCTTTTCCTGGCGTTCTTTTTCCATCTCGGCAATAAGAAAATCGTGAATATTTGTACGTAGTGAGTCTGAGATCGTGTATGTAGATGAAATATTGTCCGTATCTTTAATCGAAACAAGTACAGAAAATCGTCCATAGTCCGGACGCTCCACCTCCTTGGCTAGAGGAGTGGAGCGCTTCAAAAACCCTTCTCGCGCAGCTTCTCGGCAATCTCCTTCAGGAACTCGTTGTCCTTGTCCCCGTTCTCAATTTCTTCCAGCATTGTGGCCCGATTGAAGAACGTGCGCTTCTTCTTGGGCTCCGGGCAGTTCCGCGCAATGTGCCCGGGCTGCTGACAGTTGTAGCAGATGATATTGCGGCCGCGGGCGTGGGTACGATCGATTTCCATCGGAACCGGTTCGTTGGCAGCGGGTCGGGCCGGAGCGGGTGTGGGCGCCACTGGTGCCGTTTGGGGACGGAACTGGGGAGGTGGTCGTTGTGTGGGGTGCCCATACGACGCTTTGCGCAGCTGGTCACGCAGAGCATTGGCTTCGATGTTGATGCACCAGGCTTTGAACGCTCCATAGGCCTTGGGCAGAGGGACACCGGTGTTGTAGAGACGGCTGGCGATCTCGCTGCTGAGTCCGCGCTCCAGGAACTCGATGAGGATATTATCCTGGTCCCCCTTCTTGTATTCGCCTTTGTCGTCGGTGGTGTCGACCACATTGTAGCCTGCATCTGCGGCCAACATCTCAAAGTCGGAGATGTAGTCCGCGAAGGACCGTTTGTTTTGGCGCAGGGCCATAAGCCGAGCAGCGGCGACTTGTTCCGCATTGGAGTCCCCGAACGCCCTCTGAAACTCCTCCAGGAAGTTCTTTGATGTGACTCCTGCCTTCAGTCCCTGGAAGCCATCGAAGTTGTGCTGCTTCCAGTTCATCGCCCATCTCGAGGCAGCGCAGCTCGTGCCGTTCTCGTTACGGAGGTAGGAGAGGACAAAGAGGATTTTGGTCTCATCTTGTGAGAACTCCGATTGATAGGCACCGATGTAAGTGGTGCACGCGTCCACAAAGCCCAGGTATTTGGACTTGTCGCCATCGAAGTAGGGGGGGTTGGCGGCGAGGGTGATGCGGTGATGCCCTGACATGGTAGGGGCAGGCGTGTGAGGTGGAGGCGAGGGTGGTTGTTCGGAGGGCAGTTCGTCGAGGTCAGGGATCTCGTCTTCAGGCGGTGGGAGGGCGAGGTAGGGGTCGGAGGGCCCGGGTTGGTTTTGATGCGCCAGATCGGGCGACGATGGTACGATGGGGGGAGGGGATGGACTCCCAGACGACGATGGGAATCGGTACGAAATGGTGGATTCGTGTGCTGTACAAGCACTCGAGGAAAGGTTCTTTTGCTAGCAAAAAGATCCCGGGCCTAGCTCTTCACGTGCCCGATGATCCCGAGGTGCGTTTTCCCGAAGGTCTCCGCAGCACTCCTTGTAGCTACCGTAAGGCTTGGGTCGGGCTCAACGTTACCCGTGGCCTGGTGCTGTTTGCTTGATATGAACCCTTCACTGCGATAGTGGAGGACGACTAGATGATTCGGTAAAAGGGTGAGTGGGGTGATAAGGGTTAAGAGGATATAGCGGGCGTAGCGGTGCAAGATGCAGGGTAAGAGGTATGAGGTAGGAGGGTATGAGGGGAGTCTTCGAATTATGTGACAATCAACCCAAAAACAAAGTCGAAAAGAGAAGTGAATTCGAAGACTGGAGAATACAACCAAGTAGCTACAGTATTTATACCCAAATCCAGTCTGAGTCATATCTACAACTAATGAGTCATAGGGCTATGTACCGCATGGAACGCTGGTCATGGGTCGTAGTAGAACCTTCTGGAGCATATGTCGCGCAGCCTCGAATCGATGAAGATAATCCCTGAAACCCCTAGTCCGGACCGTCTGATGCCGTGATCCGTGATAAGATAAGTTGTGCCAAGATAAGATAAGATCGTCGATGATAAGATGAAAAAGTGGCCGAACTATGACAGAAGTCCACATTTGGGAATTGCATGCAGTCGTTAGTAGGAACTAGAGTGCCCATCTTTGTATACTTCTAAAGGTCACTTCTCGATTAAAACGAGGGGCAGCAGACGTTACCTCGTATGAGTAGCTCACTGTTAGCTAGTAAGCCGCTCGTGCAGGTAGAAGCGAGCGAAAAGGAAGCGGCAGGCCAAACAATCCCCGACTCGCGCTGATGTGAAAGCACGGGACGGTGATTGATGGACGCGTGACTGAATGAGTCGCGATGGATTTGAATTCGGCGTACAGTATTTACATAAACTAGAAAGCGCTGACTGCGTCGGCAGATGATGGACCCCGAACCGCGGTGCACGTGCCTTTCAATATGCACCTTGGGCCCTTTGCATTCAGTCGGAGTGAGAGTTAGTTCGCACGGTGTATATAGCTACACTAGAGCAGATGTAACCAGTTGTGACGCCGCGCGTTTGGAATTCCTCGTCACTAGTGTTGAGATTCGATGACGTAGCAAGCAGCTTGGTGTCGAGATTCTATGACGTGCAGCTTGTCACGTGTCTGATCTCGGATCACAAGCACGTGTTACGGTATCATGCGAAAGAACTGGATGTGCACGGGTAATTGAAATACTTGGAGTACATGATATTTGCCTAGTGATCTGTCAACATATTATAGGTATATTTACAAGCCCGGAGAGGGTTGTTCACCCGTCTCACTCGATGGGATGAATGAGAAGCGAGCATCTGGGTTGTCCCCCACCGGCGGAAGTGGCGTCGGAGTTACTGGCAATGATTTTGTGAAGCCAAAAGCTGCCAAGGTGGGTACCTGGGAGGGCACAAGCGCAGAGGCTTGGAACCGAGATGTTAATGCTTGATTCATAGCCGAAATCTATCAAGGAGATCAGGAAGGGGACAAGGGCTAAGCAACAGGTGTTTACAACTTTTTGAAGGACCCCTATGTCTTTAACCTGTCGATGTAAGGGCTGTGGCGGTGGAATCGGCACACGTCGAGAACTTCCGCGACGAGTCACTGCCTGGTGTGTAGCATTTGCTGGGGGGGGTGGTAGAGGAAAGGGAGGCAGAACAAGCATCGAGCTGTTAGTTGTCGAGCTTTGCCAGGCAGGACGAGGGACAAGCATCTTCGCAATTGTTGTCTGTTCCACTTCATCATTAATTGTGGGGGTTCGTTCTGAACTGTGTGTGCTCGGAGCAGACCCCTAATGGTATGAGATCAGAGGACGACGCAATCGCTGGAGAAAGCACAAACCGTGGTCATCTTAGCGGTAGCAAATGAATTTTCTTCGCTTCTTATATCTACCTGCGCTAAATCAGATGCAGTCCGAGGGATTTCCTTGAGCAGAAAGCTTAGAGATGTAGCTGATGGCGTTACAACACTCACTTTGTCATTCTCACTGCTCCGTGACTCTAGCTCCAAAACCATGCTGTGCAGAGCCTTGCTCTTGTTTGTGTCGTTGTCAGCCATAGACTGAGCCAGTTCCTGGGCTCGCTCATACTCTGCCTTTAAAAATCGGGCTTCATTGATGACTTTTCGGAGATGGTCGATTTCATCATGGGCACTGCAGAGGTCGTTTTCGGCAGCGCTCAGTTCTGTCGAGTTATAGCTATATCTCTCGACAAGGGCTCGATGCGCAATTTGCAGGGTTTCCAATTCTCCATTCACCTCATAACGAAAGTTAGCCAACCAAATGATCCAAGACGAGATCACCCACTTTGGTCTTCAATTCAGAAATCCAGTCTGTAAGCGTCGTCTCATGCGCAGAGAACTACCTGGAGTTCAGAAGAACTCTAGGGCAAATGGAACTGAGCCTAGCCTGTTCCAGACATGTTGTGTTGGCTGAGAGACCCACAAGACGATCGTCCTATAACAAGATGAGCGTGTGCGCTTGTCCGAGTCAAACCTCCTTGCCGTATGTAATCGTTGTTCCAACTGGAGTTGTTCAGCTTGGAGAGCTGACATCTGGCGCTTTTGTTGGACGTATTGTTGATCCTGGGACCATCAACCGAACCCGACCTAAGCAGTGGCCCACGGACGCACCAAATTATGGACCTTTTCACGAATAGCCTGGAGCTGCAGCTCTGGTGAGGGAGCATTTTCGAAGGCATGGATCTAGAGGGTTGTTAGCGCAGGTATGCACATGTTACTTGCGCATACCTTTTCCTCCAAGTCTTTCAATTTTGCGGCGCTTGCAGCGATATTCTGAAACAGGTCAGTACCATGAATGGTAGAAAGTACTGCGTTTCACTGTTCGTAGTGAGGTCTCCTCACTCTCCAACTTCTTTATTTGAATGGTGTAGTAATTGGTCATGGCATCATGTGTGGCGTCCGCAGGAGTCTGAATCGTTTGACCGGGAGGCGTGGACATGAGGGAGAAGAGATTGGAATGAGAACGCGCGTGACCATCGACGCGTGCGTCTGTGTGTCTTTGATTGATTTCTTATCGACTGGAGTCGGGAGTTCCAACTTCCGAGCCACTTATAATTGGTCAATTCAGTTCGGTATTAGCCACCACACATCCTTGGCTTGCCCCATAATCGTAGCCTCTCTCTCGACTCGACTATCTCAACACACTTCACTCTAAAACCCTGTATATGCGCCATGGAGCCACCTCCGCCGCCACTTCCGGATCCTGCGACATCCCAAGCACGAAAGTTGAAAGACAAATTTACCTGCGATTGTGCCAGTTGCCGCGCGTCAGGGGCTCCGCGTGGTTTTCGAACGGCGAGGTCCTTAGCCGAACATCGACGTCAGACTGCTGCACCTAATTTGACGAATCTTCCTTCCAACTTGCTGACTCGGACAGAGAATGTGCTGAGCGAGTCCCGCGTTCTCGCTGCTGCCGCCATAGTTCATGAACGAGAGCAAGCAAGAATTGGGGCGACGGCTGCGATCGGCGGTGCCTTGCCTCCACCAATACGGGTCGAAGGCTTTTCCACACATGTTCAGCACAAGTACAGGGCGGTGGCTTCAATCTCATTAGAGGCAGAACAAGTGGCAGAACTACGAATTGAAATGGATGCGCTGTGTCCTCCTCAACCCGGCCTGAACCTGGCAGCGCTGGAAGTCGGTATCGGACGGATCAATCGCCACCTCGCCAAAGTACGCCAGCTTCAGGCCCGTTTCCAGGTAGCCTCCAATGCCCACAAGGAGGCGGCGGCGCAATCGCTGATTCATCAAGCTATGCTCAAGCTCGATGAGATATGGAATGACGCCATGACCGTCAAGCAATCCTGGGAGAATGCCTCCGCAAGCATCAGGCCGAGTCGTAATGACCTTGAAGACATCACTTTTGAAACTGGTGTGTGGCTGCCGTCACTGGAGGTTCTTCTTCATGTAATCTCAACATACTCAGGCCATTATCACGAACCGCTCTTCCGCGATGTCGCAGTGTGGATGCAGATGATCTTCTATTTGATTGTTGTTTGCTCCACACTTTTGCACATCTCTCGTCGAGGTTGCCTTTGGGTCATGATGTCGACCCAAGATATTGTTCGCCGTGGGCTTGGAACTTCCAATTCCCCTGCTCTACAAGAGTTCAGGGACGTCCCAACCATGCAGGAACACTTCAATCTCGACACGGCATATACCATTCACGCATCTTGCCCTGCATGCCATCATACACATCGACCGGAGGGCGAGGGCCCGGGAATGATATATCCTTCGATTTGTGTGAAACGGGACAGGCAAGGTCGCAAATGCAACACGCCCTTGCTGCAACCACAACATGCCTACGGTCGTGAAACCACGGTACCTATCCGACCCTTCATCGAATTCCACTTCGTCGACTGGTTGGCTCGCTTCCTCGCTCATCCCGGCAACGAGAAGAAAATGGACAAAAGCTGGGATCGCCTGAACGCGGAACCCGTCGACCTCACGGACGTTCTGGACGGCTCCTTTGTCCGAAACTTCAAGGGCCCTGACAAGGCACATCACTTCAGTGTTCCGTCAGAGGATGGGGAAGGACGTTATATATTCTCACTTAACTTCGACTTTTTCAATCCACTGGGCGCGAGACAGTCCGGGAAGAAGATATCCGTCGGCGCCTTTTCCCTCGTCTGTCTCAATCTGCCCATCGAAGAGCGGTACCGGACGGAAAACATGTTTCTCTGTGGGATCATTCCAGGGCCCAACGAACCGCCGCTGGATGCAACCAATTTGTACTTCGCACCACTCGTCGACTGTTTTGTCAGACTCTGGCACTGCGGCGTACGATTCACAAAGACATGCGAATATGCGTTGGGCCGGCTCGTACGATGCGCGATTGTCGCTTTTGTTTGTGATCTTCCGGCAGCTCGAAAGATTTCGGGGTTTGCGAGTGCGTCGCACACGCATTTCTGTACTGTCTGCAAGTGCACCCGTGATACTGTTGAAGAGCGCAAGGCAGCGCAGGGAGACAAGGCCGCCAACCAATACACTGGTCGTGGAGTGGGTTACAATGACATCCGAGTTGACGACTGGCCTTTGAGGATGGACGGAGAATGGCAAGCTGCGGCCCAGGCGTATCGGAACGCGGCTCATCCCACTCAGGCGCAGGCCTGTTTCAATAGTAGCGGGGTCCGCACTTCGGAGTTCCTCCGATTGCCATACTTCGAGCCGACGAAGATGATTGTGGTCGACCCTATGCACAATCTTTTCCTCGGTCTCCTTCACGAGACTTTCCGTAGAGTCCTCGGGTTCTCGGAAAAAGCCAACGATGGCCCCGCCGTGCACAGACTATCGATATCTCTCAGTCCCACCGACTTCCTGATCTCTGAGAAGGACGCAGGCCAAGTACAGGATGCGATTCGTTTTCTCGAGACGATCTCGAATGCCGAGCTGGAATACGATGACGACGAAGCCGAGCTGCATAGAAAGTTGATTAACTTATCAAAGTCTGCGCTTGTGCATGTGGCCCGAGGTCTAGGCTGTCCTACAGAGCGTGAAGTACCTGCCTTACTTAACTCTCTACATCAATCGTCAAAGAAAGCTCTTTCAAAAGCGAAACTTGTTGACGAGCTCATCAGCTGGGTGAGTGCAGTAACTCGTTGTTCATATACCATTGCTGAAGCCCCGCAGCGCCGCAAGCAGGTAGAGACTGTGCCCAGTAGGGATGATGGTCGACTCGAAATCGGCCATGTCATCACCAAAGGAGAGATGAAAGCACTTTGGGCAGACATCGCTGCCATGCACACACCGTCTTGGGTGTCATCAGTGCCTCGCAACTATGGATCCGCACAACACGGGAAGCTGAAGGCAGATCAATGGCGAGCATTGGCTATGGTGTATATCCCGGTAACTCTCATACGACTATGGTCCGATTCGACGTTGCAACGTCAGGGGCTCTTGGACATGACCATGCATTTAATTGCTGCCGTGGATCTGGCTTCTTCGCGAAAAATGATACAAGGAAACGACGCAAAAGTACAAAATCATCTGCTCAAGTATCGAACCGCACTCCACGCTTGTTTCCCCGAGTACACGGCTCATCCCAACCACCATCTTGCTCTACACATCCCCCATTTCTTGCGTTTGTTTGGACCCGTGCATGGATGGTGGGCGTATCCGTTCGAACGAATGAATGGCAAGATGCTTAGGATCAAGACCAACTACAAACCTGGTGCGACCACTTTTGATGTCATGTTAGTTTACTCACTAGTTTGCAGGCGAATATGAAATCACCATAGGAAGACGGTATCAACAGATGGCCAACGTCTATCGATTGGAGAGTAGTGCCGTGTTTCCCGTTGCAAACGAACTGAAGTTAAGATTTGACCAAATCTTTCGTGGGGTTTCCGCCACGAAGTCAGGGGGCTCCAAACATCCCGTCACACTCAAAGATTGCGCGTCCGCTTTCCATCGGTCGAAAATCACACTTCCTCTCGCGAACCGGACGTTCAGCAACGTCAAGTACAAGGGCCTTTCGTACTCGACCCGACACAAGCACCGTGGTAACAGCTCGGTATACTATACAACGGGTGGTACACGTCAACCCCTGGCCATTGAGCACATCATCCAGTCTTTAGTTGGAGCCGAGCCGGTGTATGTTGTGTGTCGTCCGTATCGGCCAGTTTGCCTGCTTCAAGATCCATTCTTGAAGTATCCAGACTTCGGCGGCAAGATCTGGAGCCGTGACCTAGAAGCTGACGATAAGGGTGTCGTGCTCACTCTTGAGCAGATCGAAGGACATTTTGCAAGTTGCGACATGAAAGGACTGGTAACTGTCGACGGATCGTTTTGTGAAGGCATGATTGTGGTTCCATTACGAAAGGTGCGAGGAATGTACGACATGGAAAAACTGGCGATGTTGCTGAATGCATCTCAGTCCCTTGCCACCGACTCATGCTTTGTCGGAGCAGGAGACGACCGCGAGGAGGATGAAGATGAGGATGTAGAAATGAGTGTATATTGAAGAGGCGCTGCATGCTCACTTTGACACGTTTTCTCGCACATTCTCCTTAGTGATGCATGGTTTTCGAACAAAGACGAAAGACATTTTGAAAAGTATGAGCACAAGTATTACAACAGCAATCTAGTCTAGGCAGAGATTCAAACAGAGATGGGATTAGGCTTGGTATTGCAGTTCGATGAGAGATGGGAGCTTCCTATTATTGACTTGGAAATTGATAATGTCTTGCACAATCCTAGAGCAACGGTTCAACGGACAAACACCGGAGAGAAAAGAACGGACGCACTGCTTGAGAATGGAAGTAATAAGTAAAGGGTCACCAGCGCGTAGCCCAACTACAGCGTCTTTGCATTGCTTGCCTGCACGCATAAAGAGAACCTCCCCTCTGATCCCCTGCCTAGTTGCGTTCCTGGGGAGGCGGCAGTGACGCCGGAAGTAGACGCGGAACTTGGTTTGGATGCTTCGACGAGTGATCAAGACCGATAGGTCATGTACGTGAGGCTGTATGTGCAGGTCGGCAAAAAGGCCTTCGGGCATGGCATAACGTGGCATGCGGGGGCCGTTCACGCGTGAAGATCGAACTAGAACATTCACTGGTGTGGGTCCTCTGCGTCTTGTGCAGTACAGTCTTGCAGGGATAAGACGATCGATGGTCTAGCCCCATGAATGAAACAAACGCGAAGAGGAAACGGATTGAGGGCACCTGAGAGCTATGGGGCAAGAAGGCACGGTTATTGGTCATAATGCAAGAATTGATAGTGCGGGGAGTAAGGAGGGACGCACATGCAGCAAGAACAAAGACGCTGGGAAGTAGCGTCATTTTTCGAGTCGCACAGACCCAAAGGCAAGATGAAAGGAGCGTGCTTCCAAAAGAGTCTCGGGCACGTGACGAGTCGGATCGGATCGGACGCAGCGCGCATCCGTCGCGTGTACGGTGCAACGCTCTCTAGAGTCTCTACGTACATACCTTGCCGACTCGCGATCGCTGGCTGATCAATCAATTATGAAATCATGCACCGCAGGAGCCACCGCTTCGTTTGATCGGAACGTTTTACCGGAGATCTGAAAGTACTTATCAGTGTTTACTACTTGCTCCCAACTTTATGGCTCACGTATTCAAACACAAAACCGCCGTACAGACAACAGGAAGTGATGCGCCCAATGCGCTGGCCTTTTGCCCTAATGGACGAGTACTCCTCGTGGGGGGTGAGCGCCTTTGTTCTTTGAGCCACTCGCGCCTAGCATCACTCACGCAGGCGAAGACAGCTCTGTCCATTTCTGGGACGTCGAGGCAGGGACTTCCTACCAAGAATCAATTTACGACGTTCGCTGGGGATGCGTTACAGACTTGTTATTCTTGCCAGGTAGTGCGGGCTTTTCGGAACCGTGGTTGTGTATAGGCACCGGTGCTGGGCTTATCGCTCTCTACCAGTTGGATAATCAGGTATAAGATTTACTATCTTTCAAAGTCAGCGCTCATCCATCCGGTAGATGATCCTGCAATCTTCTTCTCTGCGGGTAGAAAAACTCTTTCCAGCGGCAGACGATCCCATTGAACTCCAAGCTTTCGACGTCTTGAGTTCGACCCTTGTTGTTGGATCGTTCAAGGGATCCATCAAGGCGTACCGCTGGGCTGATAGTGGGTCATTCTTCTTTACGTTGGAGCTTGTTTTACAACTGGGTGCGCTCCTAGACGTTCTATCCCACATGGCTACCCATGAGATGAAAACAGACATACCTTGTCATTTCTCCTTCTCGACTGCCAATCCCAGAACACTTCTTGTGCACTATCGGTCGGGGGCAATGTTTGCTCCGTTGTCAATGTCCCCCCATTCCTCTCATTGAATTGCCAGGGAAGTTCTTGATTTGTCCACACTGAACAACCTTCAGCCGCTCTCCACTCTTGGATTTCTCATGTTAGTCTTCAGTTTTGCCTGAATGTAACTCACTGTCCCAGAGGATCAATCTCAACAGCGAAGGACTGCAAAGTCGTGGCTAATCTTACAACTGGCAACTACGAAGTATTCGATGGGGTCGCGTCCCTCAAGCCCAAGGTCTCGCTGCAGGTTTCTGACAGCAGTTGGTCGCCAAAGTGTGACAATCAACCCAAAAACAAAGTCGAAAAGAGAAGTGAATTCGAAGACTGGAGAATACAACCAAATAGCTACAGTATTTATACCCAAGTCCAGTCTGAGTCATATCTACAACTAATGAGTCATAGGGCTATGTACCGCATGGAGCACTGGTCATGGGTTGTAGTAGAACCTTCCGGAGCATATGTCGCGCAGCCTCGAATCGATAGAGATAACCCCTGGAACCCCTAGCCCGGACCGTCTGATGCCGTGATCCGTGATAAGATAAGTCGTGCCAAGATAAGATAAGATCGCCGATGATAAGATGAAAAAGAGTCGAATTATGACATTACCCCCTCTCTAGGGTCGATGTCCTCATCGACTAGGCTGATGGGCGTGAAGACGTTTTCGTAGGGATCGAAGAGTTGTCGCTGGGGATATGGAAGGCGCTCGTCTTTGGGTTTGTAGCGATGGATGAGATAATCCCAATGTCCAGCTTCGAGAGTTGGTAGGAGGCGAATGCGTGTGTCTGGGTTGGATTGTTTCCTCTGCCAATCTCTCAGGACCTTCTTCGCGTGGGTAAGGTGACGTGATGGTTCCCAGGTGTTCTCGCTGTGCGGCCATCCCTTCCATTTGACCAAGTACTGTTTTCCTCGGCCGACTTTTCGCTCTTTCACGATTTCTTCGACTTCCCACTCCTCTGCTCCTCCGATCATCTTGGCCACGGGTCTCTTCTCTCGGCGATGGGGGGGTGGTTCGTGATAGGGTGTCAACAGTGACTCGTTGAACACCGGGTGTCTTCGGTCCGTGTCCGGCAAATTCAGCTTCCATGCAGCCGCTCCAACCTTCTCCAGTATCTCGTATGGCCCCAATCTCTTGTCGCTCATCTTCTTTGATGGTCGATCCGTCTCGATATTCTCCCCTTCTATGTACACCTTCATCCCAACCTTCAACTCCGGAACTTCTTTTCTTTGTTTATCGTAGTATTTTTTCATTTTTTCTTTTGCTTTTTCTAGTGCTGCTTTTGCTTCGTCTTGTATTTCTTTGATTCTTTTCACAAATTCCTCCGCCGACTCGTTTCTCGACTCCATCCGTTGCTCCACTCCCTTCCACGGGTGATATCCGTGATTCGCATAGAATGGCGATACTTTGGTGGACGTGTTCATCTTGTCGTTATATGCGAACTCCGCCATTCCCAGCCAGTCCGACCAGTCCGTTTGATGGTAATTGACGTAGATGCGGAGATAATGCTCGATCTCCTGATTCATGCGTTCTGTCTGCCCATCCGTGATCGGGTGATATGCGGTCCCCGGGTTCATTTCCACGCCCAACATCCGATTCGTCTCCCTCATGAAGCCCTTGATGTAACGCGAATCCCTGTCGGTGATGATCTTGCGAGGGATCCCGTGGTAGCGGAAGACTCGGTCCCTGGTTAATCGTGCCACTCCTTCGCTGCTGATGTCAGTACTGATTGGTTCGACATGGATCATTTTGGTGAAGGTGTCACACCACACATGAATTGCGTCATACCCGTTACTGACCGGCAAGGGTCCGATCTGATCCATGGAGATGATTTCCCACGGCGCGTTTGGAACTGCATGCGGGTGCAAACTCCCTGTCCTGGCTCTTCTGGTCTTGGTCCGCTGGCACGCTTCGCACGTCTGGATGTATTTCCGAATTTGGTTCCCCATCCTTGGCCACCAGTAGTTCCTTTCCACCATCTCCTGCGTTCGGTTGGTCCCAGCGTGTCCGACCAAAGGGGTGTCGTGGTGTAGTCCGATGATCTTGTCCCGCAACTCCTCGTCCCTTGGTACATAGAGCTTCCCATGATACGTGATGAGCCCATCTTCCTTCTTCCATCCGACGAGTGACTTCTCCAAGGCCGCCTTGACGCTTCCATCAACTGATCGAATGGCCTTGATTTCATCGATTAGCTGCTGATCCTGTCCCTCAAATGTGACTTCTTGTGATCGGAAAAACTCGGGCTTTAGTAGCGTGACGTCCTTGTTGTCGTTCTTGCCCTGATCGTGATCTGCTCGTCGAGATAAGAGATCCGCTTTGCGGTTGAGTGCGCCGGGCCGGTGTCGTAAGGTGAAATCGAACTCCGCCAACTCCGTGATCCATCGTGCTTGCCGTCGATTGAGCTTCTGCGGCTTCCGGAAGTACTCGAGATTCTGATGGTCGGTGAAGATCTCGAACGTCTCCGTGGCTCCCAGGAGTAACTGCCTCCATTCGTCAAGCGATAACATGATTGCGAGCATTTCCTTGTCGTAGATCTCGTAATTTCGCTCGGTTTTGGTCAGTGCGTGCGAAATAAATGTGATTGGGCGCCAAATGCCGTCTTGGTTTTGGCTCAAAACAGATCCTGTTGCCCCTTCCGAAGCATCGGCTTCCAGACGATATTGGCCAGTGTCATTTGGCAGTGCTAGGACCGCATCCTCCGCGATTCTCTTCTTCAATCCATCAAATGCCGCATGCTCATCTGCACCCCATGACCATCCTGCCTTTCCTGTCAGCCGTGTCAATGGCTTGGCAACCTCCGCGTATCCCCGGACGAAGCGCCGATAGAAGTTTGTGAACCCTAGAAACGCTTGGACTTGTTTGACGCTCTTTGGTTCGGGCCATTCCATCACGCCCTTGATCTTGACTGGGTCCATCCGCATCGAATTGTGTCCAATAATTACACCCAAATATTCGATTTCCGTGCGTTCGAACTCGCACTTTTCGGGCTTCAGGTATAGCTTGTGTTTTTGGAGCAATTCAAGCACTCGTTTCGTGATCCGCCGATGTTCGTTCAAGTTTTCTGTGAAGATCAGTATATCGTCCAGATAGACTACCACGTGACCCTCGTTGATCAATTCTCGGAGTATGTCGTTCATCATGTTTTGGAACGTTGCCGGGGAATTTGTGAGACCAAAGAACATGACCAAGGGTTCATACAGCCCTCGGTTCGTGCGGAATGCAGCCTTCCACTCATCACCCTCTTTGATCCGTACATTGTTATATCCCCACCGGATGTCAAGTTTTGTGAAGAACTTGGCGCCACATAGATTATGGACTAGTTCGGATATCAGCGGCAGCGGGTATCGATTCCGAATCGTCATCTCATTCAGCTTCCGATAGTCTTGGACGGGGCGTAGGGAGCCATCCTTCTTCTTGACAAAGAAGAATGCTGATGCCATCGGTGATTTTGATGGCCTGATCCGTCCACTGGCCAAGTTCTCTTGTAGGAATTCGTCGAGTTTGACTTGTTCATTGCGTGATAACGGGTACACCTTGCAGTCCACTGCCTTGGAACCAGGTTTGAGCTCAATTGCGTGATCCCATGCCCGTCGGTCTGGTAGCGAGTCAAACGATTCCTTGGCGAATACTTTGACAAATTCCCGATATTGATCCGGAATCTTCCCCTCGGTCATCCTCTCCTTCTCTTTCTCCGCTTCTTCTGCGAATTTCTGTGCCGGCGTTTCCTTCAGCCGCAGGTCTACTTCCTTCCCAAAATCGACCAACAAGATCGATTCTCCCTCTTCCAGATCCGGTGTGCCCATGTTCAGGTCAATTGCGTCCATGTCAATCATCGCTTGATGTTCCTCGTGACCCCTCATGTGACACCGCTCTGGGCACCGGCTGAACCTCATGGTCTGCTCCTGCCAATCCACTTCGGGGTTGTGTTCCATCAGCCAATCGAGACCGATGAAGATCCGGGCTTTCCCCAAGCACGTCAGAAGGAACGTGCGTGTCTCCACATGAGGACCGATTCTCATCCTCAGATCGACGTAGTGCGTGATCCGACCGCTGATGTTCTCGGTGTTGTCGGCGTTACGAGCCACAATGGGTTGTGGGAGCTCTTGAATATCCAACTTCTCCGCCCGTGCGTAGTCGGTATCGATGCAACAGGTACTGCAGCCGCTATCGAGCAGCGCCTTGACTCCGCGCGTTTTCCCTGAGTCCAGGCCCGTGATCTGGACATATACGTCCATCGAATGCCTCTTTCTTTCGGCTTGGTAACTGCGCAATTCCTGCGCCAATCTGCTGGGCTGGGGGCCCTTCTGTTTCTCGGTCGCCAATTTCCTCTGGATGGCATCTGGCACCCTGGTGCGTTTGGGTGCTTCTGGAACCTCGATTTTGGCAGATTCCTTGGGCGCTTCCTCCTTTTCCAAGGATCGAGCCTTCGGAGCGATGCTCCCCTTTTCGGTCTTTGTTGACGTGGTTCCTTCTCCACGAGCCATAAATACGTAGGAGTCCAAAAATAATTTATCTGCAGCTTTCTGATCCTTTTTATCTTGTAAGTATTTTCTATTTAGAGCTATCTTTTCCTGGCGTTCTTTTTCCATCTCGGCAATAAGAAAATTGTGAATATTTGTACGTAGTGAGTCTGAGATCGTGTATGTAGATGAAATATTGTCCGTATCTTTAATCGAAACAAGTACAGAAAATCGTCCATAGTCCGGACGCTCCACCTCCTTGGCTAGAGGAGTGGAGCGTTTCAAAAACCCTTCTCGCGCAGCTTCTCGGCAATCTCCTTGAGGAACTCGTTGTCCTTGTCCCCGTTCTCGATCTCTTCAAGCATCGTGGCCCGATTGAAGAATGTGCGCTTCTTTCTTGGTTCCGGGCAGTTCCGCGCAATGTGCCCCGGCTGCTGACAGTTGTAGCAGATGATATTGCGGCCGCGGGCGTGGGTACGATCGATTTCCATCGGAACCGGTTCGTTGGCAGCGGGTCGGGCCGGAGCGGGTGCGGGCGCCACTGGTGCCGCTTGGGGACGGAACTGGGGAGGTGGTCGTTGTGCGGGGTGCCCATACGACGCTTTGCGCAGCTGGTCACGCAGAGCATTGGCTTCGATGTTGATGCACCAGGCTTTGAACGCTCCATAGGCCTTGGGCAGAGGGACACCGGTGTTGTAGAGACGGCTGGCGATCTCGCTGCTGAGTCCGCGCTCCAGGAACTCGATGAGGATATTATCCTGGTCCCCCTTCTTGTATTCGCCTTTGTCGTCGGTGGTGTCGACCACATTGTAGCCTGCATCTGCGGCCAACATCTCAAAGTCGGAGATGTAGTCCGCGAAGGACCGTTTGTTTTGGCGCAGGGCCATAAGCCGAGCAGCGGCGACTTGTTCCGCATTGGAGTCCCCGAACGCCCTCTGAAACTCCTCCAGGAAGTTCTTTGATGTGACTCCTGCCTTCAGTCCCTGGAAGCCCTCGAAGTTGTGCTGCTTCCAGTTCATTGCCCATCTCGAGGCAGTGCAGCTCGTGCCGTTCTCGTTACGGAGGTAGGAGAGGACAAAGAGGATTTTGGTCTCATCCTGCGAGAACTCCGATCGATAGGCACCGATGTAAGTGGTGCACGCGTCCACAAAGCCCAGGTATTTGGACTTGTCGCCATCGAAGTAGGGGGGATTGGCGGCGAGGGTGATGCGGTGATGCCCTGACATGGTAGGGGCAGACGTGTGAGGTGGGGGCGAGGGTGGTTGTTCGGAGGGCAGTTCGTCGAGGTCGGGGATCTCGTCTTCAGGCAGTGGGAGGGCGAGGTAGGGGTTGGAGGGCCCGGGTTGGTTTTGATGCGCCAGATCGGGCGACGATGGTATGATGGGGGGAGGGGACGGACTCCCAGACGACGATGGGAATCGGTACGAAATGGTGGAATCGTGTGCTGTACAAGCACTCGAGGGAGGGTTCTTTTGCTAGCAAAAAGATCCCGGGCCTAGCTCTTCACGTGCCCGATGATCCCGAGGTGCGTTTTCCCGAAGGTCTCCGCAGCACTCCTTGTAGCTACCGTAAGGCTTGGGTCGGGCTCAACGTTACCCGTGGCCTGGTGCTGTTTGCTTGATATGAACCCTTCACTGCGATAGTGGAGGACGACTAGATGATTCGGTAAAAGGGTGAGTGGGGTGATAAGGTTTTAAGAGGATATAGCGGGCGTAGCGGTGCGGGATGCAGGGTAAGAGGTATGAGGTAGGAGGGTATGAGGGGAGTCTTCGAATTATGTGACAATCAACCCAAAAACAAAGTCGAAAAGAGAAGTGAATTCGAAGACTGGAGAATACAACCAAATAGCTACAGTATTTATACCCAAGTCCAGTCTGAGTCATATCTACAACTAATGAGTCATAGGGCTATGTACCGCATGGAGCACTGGTCATGGGTTGTAGTAGAACCTTCCGGAGCATATGTCGCGCAGCCTCGAATCGATAGAGATAACCCCTGGAACCCCTAGCCCGGACCGTCTGATGCCGTGATCCGTGATAAGATAAGTCGTGCCAAGATAAGATAAGATCGCCGATGATAAGATGAAAAAGAGTCGAATTATGACACAAAGCCTGCGCTCCTATCGGGGCACGGCGATTTTCTCCTGTGCGGCGGGGATGCGGGGTTAATACATCTCTTCAACTTGCCGACCAAGCGTCTCCCCAGCCTGGAACACCCCGGTGCATTTCATCTCTCAATGATGTCTGGTCCTTGTTGACCTCGTGCTAGATTGTCAAACAGTCCAGGCGTTGGCGGTATGGGTTGCATGTTCGGGCGGCGATATATAGTGACTTCTCCTTTGCCAGTGTACTGAGCCCGACGCACACGGCAGCTTCCTTGTTGCGAGCGCAAACAGTGTTGGGATCTGTATCTGGAAACATACCGTAGGGAATCTTGGTCCAATCTGTCTAAGCAACTTACTGATGACTGGCATAGAGGACTGCTGCCAGTGCGTCTGCGCAGATAAAGGAACCGAAGGGCGGACCTGGACCTCTCGAAGCTCAAGTGCTGAAGCAGCAGCTGGCAGACATTGCTGACCTGAAGAAGTCTTTACGTTTTTATTTATATGCATCTTGTGGAGTTGCTGGTGTAATTCTTGTGATGACCGCTGTAATATCGGCGATGGTGTTGTAGTCTACTTTGAATTATAAAAGTATAGCTAACGCTAGGGTCTTTTTTCTTATCGATGTTTAGTCGTCAACTTGGGCTTCATAAGATATTCGAGTCCTGCCGCTGATAAGCTTATCTTTCGAGTCGAGACGAGATACACGTGACTCGCACTGGCTTCGTACCGCTGAGGCTGTCTGCACATAAGCCGCCAGGTCCCTCCAGACCCGACCTTGGGACTCGGGCAAACTGTGCTGTGCTCGTCTACCTCATACTTGGTCTCCTCTGCTCTTTAGAACCGCCACCCTCAAGGTCATCACTCGCCGCCAGCGCCGGCACTGCTCCGCAACGCGCCGGTAGCAGCTCCCTCCATCCCTGTGGTGCAAGACTGTCAGCTGCAAGAGCATTGAGGCACGTGTGCATCGCGATTCGGCTTTCCGTGCACAACGCAGCACGCACAACAGTCCCGCGCACGCCATAACGTCGCGCTCTGCCGGCATCACCCATGGCCTCTGGCCCAGTGCTGCGACAAGAAAGTTAGTGGAGAATGTTGTGGCAAGTGGGTCCCCGGAGCGCGTGTCAGCGTGAGTGCACTCGTATCTATTGCGTTGGATTTATTAAATCGTCCTCAGCCACGCGTTTTTTGCGGAAGGGTCGTCCCCGCCAAAGAGTTGAATGTCAAGACTATGCCACATTTCCATGCGCGACCGAAACATCATTGCCAACCTGATCATCGCTCACGGGAACCATGACATGGCGCTCGAGGGTGCGAGATGTATGCAAAGACTGCTGCCGTCAACTCCGCCGCAATTACCGACCGCTCTCCCGCTCCTACTTTCCGCCCTCCCGCAGCTCTAGCATTGCTGGTACCAACGGCTATTCTAATGGCATCGTGAGGTGGGAACAAAGCGCCACGGTGCATTCGCGATCTATTTGGAGCCATGGCACGCCGACATCTTTGCGTTCATCGACTTGCGCAAAAACCACGGCAGTCAGCAGATGCGTGTCCCCGAGCTATTTCTGGCACTGTGGATCCCGAATTTGTTTATGAAGCGCGTGGAGGAGAATGGGGAACGGTCGCTGTTTTGCCTGAACGAGGCTCCTGGCCTGCATGAGGCGCACAGGGAGGAATTCGAGGCTGTGGATGAGAGATGAGCGCGACGGGCGGGCCAGGAAGACCATCCCTGCCCAGAAACTTGAGTACGCGATTCTGAAGGCGCAATGTCGAGACGGGCAGTCAGTTTATGGTGTACGAAAACCATGCCAACTGTGCGTTGCTCCCGTCTAATGGATTGATCAATGACTGATCGTCCCCCCGGCCAAGCCGAATCAGAAGGATCTGGGTGGTACGATCAAGTCGTCGGATCTGCGCACGGAGATCATCATATGTTCTGCTGCGGATGAGGCGTCCGTCTGTAACCTTGTATCGATTGCGCCGTCCAGCTTCATCTCGAATGGCGATACGACCTCCCGACTGCGTGATATATACAATGTGGCTGCATCTGACCTGAACCGGATCGTCGACATCAACTACCACTCTATTCTCGAAACTCGCTAGTCGAATATGCGCCACCGACCGATCAGTGTCGATGTGCAAGGATTGGCGAATGCGTTCGTTCTACTCCGGATGCCATTCGACTCGGCCGAAAGTGCTCCATCTGCAGATCTTCGAAACCATCCACCCCGGCGCTCTGGATGCCAGCTGCGAGTTGGCGGAACGAGATGGACCATGCGCGACGTATGAGGGCAGCCTTGCATCTAACGTCAAGCTGCATTATGAAATGTGGGGTGCGACGCCTTCATCGCTGTGGGACTGGGCGGGGCTCAAGGCGAAAATTCACAAGCACGGGCTGCAGAATTCGCTGCTGACTGTACCGATGCCGACTACGTCAACCAGCCAAATTCTGAGAAACAACGCCTCCTTCGAGCCTTACACGAGCAACATTTACACGCGTCTTGTCTTTTCAGGCGAGTTCCAGGTGGTGAACCCCCATCTGCTCTGGTAGCTGGTTGACCGAGGCCTGCGGGATGGGGACATGCTGTGTAAGTAGGTCATTGGATCGTTGTGGAGTTGAACAACCGTTAGGATGCGTAATACCGACATGAACACACATATGGTCGAATCCGCGAGAACGGTAGTAGCATGCTTGATCTAATGCAACAGTGGACGCTGCGAAAGACGGCGGAGGTCTCATAGAGCCGGCGGCAGTGTGTGACATGCCCTCCGGAGGTCCTAAACCAACATTCAGACGTGGGCGGAGGTCCCGGCTGGACATGCGGTGGGCCCAGTTTCATATGCGGAGGCGGTGACCTGGCCCAGCGGAGGCCCAGCGAACCCCAGCGGGTCCCGCGGTTAATTCATGTAGCCCGACTCAGAGTAGTAGGGTAGAAGTTTGCTGTCGTGTCCCCTGATCCAGCGCAGTTCAGCTAAAAAGTACAAAGCCTTTGCTCCAGTGCACGCGGCGTCGAGGAGTCGCCTGGGAAAATCTCTCACCGGTCATCTTCATCACGAGATTCATCATCATCTTCGAACAACCTGCGAACTCCCGGTCGTACTTGATGGCACAGGACGACTACCCCGAAGACGTAAGAACCGCATCTGGGCAAGCACGATATCTGCTCACCTGAGGGCCCCAGCTAACCGAGGCTGAGTGCCAGCGAAGAGTTGCCGCTCTCGATCAAAGCGATACCAATGTACGAATCCGTGCGACAAAGGTGCTTAGACCGATCCTTTTGCAAATGAAATCTTGTTGAGCGACAGTCCTCATTAGGGGGATATCATACGCAGTCTAAAATCCCAGGTACTTGATGGTCGTTTGCTATGCAATCATTTGACGCGAGGACCCTTAGCTCGTTGACCTGCAATCTCATTTGCAATGGCAGGTAATTCGCAGTTTGCGAAAGGTTCAAAGACTACACACTCACTTGCTTAGTCTTCCCGCAAGACCGAATTGTGCATCGGGCTCGAATCTCTCGAGCAGTCATACGCCGATCTGAGTGCTAACGTCAGCGACCTTGAACACGCCACTGAGCAGATGTGGCATGACTGGCAGAGGAGCGAAGATGCTTGGGAGAAGCATTTTTCCGGTCACCGCGGCTTTGTCGACGACCTGGAGGCGCTTGTCTTTCAAAGCACTGGCATCGACGCTCAACCCCAACTTTCCGCGCAGCCGACACCTGGTCAATCGAACCCTTCTCCAAACCCAGACGTGACCATGCGCGACAACAATATTGACCAGGATGAGGAAGGGTACGAGGGCAATGAAGAGGCTATGCTTGGGGATCTTTTTGATCAAAACCGGTCAACCTCTGTGCACGAATGGGATCAGCACGATTTTGGGGCTCACAACACCAAGGCGCGCTTGTCCATCGAAGCAATTATCGGGCTGTACAAGGACAAGCAATACGCTACATCCAAGGCAGGCAGACATCGCCTTTTCTAGGCCAGATTTGAACTATCCCTGCAGGCTATCATCCAGTCTCGCGTGTTCAGCTCACTTTCAATCAAGACCGCTTCCGGCATATTTGATGTTATTCGACGCCCCGCCGATCCCATGATCCGCAACCTGCCTCCTCAGTCCTCGGCTCTTGACCCCCTGGTTATCCAATGGGAGGATCTTACCGCTAAATGGAATAAGGAAGTTGCTGTGCTTTTTGCTCGCAATTTGAGGGAAGATCGTGATGATCTGCTCTACGATGAAAATTTCGTCCAGAATTGGTTCATGTGCACTCTCTACTCGCTCTGGAAGGCCTATCAGGTGGAAACCGTCGAGCGAAACAAAGATCCCGACTTGATTACACAGGACTCCAGACGTGAATCCCGGAGGCGCCACGTAAGGATTGCTGTATCATTCTTATCTTTAAATTCATCTAGAACTCCAACAGTTGCTCATCCGACGCCGAAAAACTGCCCTGCGTCTTTCTTCCGATTTCTCAGGTGAAACGGGAGAGCTATTTGGCTTGCTTCATGAAATCCTTGAACGATTGTCGCCTCTGTGTATGAGCTCTGACGATTCTGATGCGGACGGTGACAACGACGATCGCACGACCAGACCACGTAAGGCACGGAGGTCCCGATTGGTCGTTCGCAAGGCTTGGAGAAGTGTTCTATTCGTGGCCTTGCTTAAACTTCTAGATCGACTTTACAAACCGGCCAAGTCGGTGTATGGATCAACTCTGGGAGCACCTAGACATGTGCGAGTTCGGTCGAAGGACGCCCGAAACTCGTCTTGTCCTCCTGTGGAGAATCTACCCAGAGATTTATATGATCCAATGGTATTAAGTGCTTGCGACAGTGTCGAGATGTTCAAGCTCCGCCCTCAGCTCCCCGCAAACCTACCAGTGTCTCTACTCGAGAACCCAGCCGTTATCCGCCAAGCTGCGGCTGACCGGGCGGATACGGACGAATACTGGCCCAACACTTGACTAGCTCACTAGATTATCTACGCACATTCCTTTCAGTAAATAAACGCATACGTTGATGTCGTGCTTATGATTCAAGATAATCAAACGCATTAATCTGTGCAGCATTGTGACCACAGTTCGAAGCAAGTAACTTGAAACTGACCGGTATAATTTGGTGGCGCGTCTACATGCGCGTCTACATGCCCTAGCTCAGGAATCCCCTGAATGTACTCCGGTCCTTGGTCAGATTTGAAATATTCAAGTATTTTCAAGACGACGTCTTGATTTCCTTCGAGGTCCTTCTTCGCCTCGCGCAGAGAGCTGGTGGGCGGTCTGATCATGAGGTATGCAAATGCCCAGAAGGCTGCGTGATCTTCTATTACTATTCGAAGCTTGAGAGCGGCGACGTCAAGTCCTGCGACCGGTTGCATTGTTTGCTCAGAATTGCAGGCCATGAATTCGTAAAGGATGCTGTGAGAAGTCTAGTGTGATGTTGGGTCAGTTTTTTTTTTGCTTGGTTCTGACTTGTCTGACTGACGCCGTCGACTTGTGGCTCAAAGT